ATCGAAAATAATGATGGTCAAATGTGTTAATTGGCTGCTGTGATGTGTTTGAATATTCTTTTTCATTTCATCTAAATCCAATGAGTTCTGGTTGGTCTGTTCGGCGCATGTGTGTACCGTCGACAAGTACATGCACACACACAATTCATAACTACAAACTAATAACGATAATTATTATGAAATGCCAAATTATAAATAAATATTTGAGAACAACATTTATTAGCATGTTTTGATATTTTGGCAAATTTTGCGGAATTGTGAGTAAATTTTTATGAAAACATTTTTAAGAATTATGGGAATGTTTTAGGTTCATTCTATGGTACAGAATTGTTTATGTGGGCTATATATTAAAATCGAAAGTATTTTTATTAGCACGCTTTAAATCCCTATTTCAACCGTTACGGATAACATGTGACCAAGAATAACTTCACATTTAAACAATTTTGAAAATTCTTCAATCCGGAAAAAAGTAGAACAAATATTTGATTTGTATCGAACTATCTAAATTAGATTATATGTACAATGTGTGATTGTGTGTACTATTTACATAGCTTTCCTCTTGTTCAATCTTGCAGATATGTATGAATCTATGTTGGTGAAAAAATTAACACGTCCTTCCCGAATTCCTATAATAATGAACCACATAAAATGCTACAGATTTCAATTTTTTTCATGTCATACTCATATTTGTAATTTGTTTGATATGGTTTTACCCAAAATATGAGTGTTAGTTACAACCGTACACATAAACCAGGAAGAAAAGGGCCAACTTCGCACTTATATGAAATCAAACAAAATTGTCCAAATTTTAACCGATTTTAAGCAAGTTTGGCACAATCTATTTGTTGATCTGAAGCACAGTGGAATGTTCCATTTTCAAGAAATGGGATGAACATATGGTAGGTGATGTCCCAAAATTCTAACCAATTTAAACCATCCTGGGCTCAGGACGGTACTTTTTACAAAATTTCTACTAAATGATCACTATTTACACGAAAACGGCTTAAAATATATATGTGGAAAATATATCTAAATCTGAAAAATTGGTCTTTGGTAATCGCAATTTTACTTTTCCGTGTTTACAAAAATACAAAGATTGGCACTAGGACTAATTACGTTTTTTCATATTCTAATTCGTATATTTTACCCATTCCAAATTCACCATTGACGAAGATCGACCCATAGATCTTTCGGAAAATTTTTCTTTCAAACATTACAAGAGCAGATGCGCAAGTTCCCATGCTTCAGATCCACACAACGTCTTGTAGAGTGTGAATTTGGTCTGACGAGAGGTGGCCTTGCTTTTATGTTCAAAGCTGATGTTATTAGTTTTCTTTATGGCGGTACCGAGGTATTTAAAATCGTTCACTGCATCGAAGCTGTAGTTCTCATGTTCCACAGTTGGTCCGAGTCAACTGGACGTCTTGAGCGTTGATGCCACCAGCTTGATCTTCTCCGCATTTACTGTCAATCATACATTGGCAGACTCCTTCTCAATTCGTTCACTGGTGGCCGTTAACGCTCGCAATATTCGACCTATATGTTGTTTGGTGTAGAGAGTGTCATTTCTGTTCCATTTGCATCCCGTATGACCATTTCCTGCAGGATGTTAAAAAGGTCACACGACAAACTGTCACCTTGTCTGAATCCTTTCCGACTTTAACTGCTGACCTTGTGCCACTCAAAGTTATCCTGCGCAGCCGTATTCGATGTATTCGATGTGTGTGTCGATGTGATTTTCATGGTTCTTATCCAGGACTTGGCTCAGAGTAAAAATCTGGTCAATGGTGGATTTGCCAGGTCTGAAGCCGCATTAGTATGGTCCAATAATGCCATTGACCATTGGCTTCAGTCGTGCACACAGCACGCTGGATAGCACTTTATATGCGAGAAGGGGACGTATTATTCTATAACTGGCACATATCTTCTTGTGTCCTTTCTTCTCCGCGCCTATTTGATACCAGAAGCTTTTCAAAATGCTCCTTCCAGATCCTCAACACGTTGTCTGTATCTGTCACCAGGTTTCCTTCTTCATCTCTACAGTTTTATAAAATTATTTTAAAAGTAGTTTTATACAATTATTTAAAAAAAGTAACATTTGTGGCCCTGTCGCGATTAACATTTGCATGAAATAATCTTTAAACATTAAATTATATAGAAATTCATAGGTAAAAATATTCCGACAAATGATATTGAATATTTATTTTGAATCATATAAGATTTACAAAATTTCAAAATGTTTGGCACTTTGTGCGGCAGGTACTAGAAGTAGTGGAACGATGTGTAAAGTTTGGATCAAATCGAAGGTTCAATTGTTTGATATTAGTTTAATAAATTTTCAGTATGTGGGATAGGTATTAAAAGGAGTGGATCGATGGGTCGCATCTTCGAACTTGATTTAGAGTTCGTAGAAACACTACGATGTGCAGAGTGTGGATGTTTTTAATATGGAAAATGTTAACACTCTGTGGGCGAGGTACCTCTGTGGGCGATTTACCATGTTCAAACATGTATTAAGTTTTCAAGAAATATTACGAATGGTTAAAATACTGCGTACCAATGAATATGTACCCTCATAAGGTTGAGGGTATAATTATTTGTTTTAGAACAGGCTATTTGTCATTCCGTTTGCAAAACCTCGAAGTATTCACCTGAGACCCGATAAAGCATATGTATGTATATATTCGTTAATTTGAGGCTTCGGGCACTTATTTCAATCTGGTCAATCTTGATCTATTTTATAGGGTAGTTTGGCAAGTGTTTCCATTAATTTGGCTGTAATTTTATATTTTGAATCTTCACTGATAAGATTATCAATATTGCCTCAAGTTTCCGGTTGTGCCCCATCTAATAGTACCTATCATTATTCGGTATTTTGAAGGTTTTGAACACGTTTTCAACCAAACTAGCCCCAATTAGTGTAAAAATTATCAATATCGATTTATGTTTCGCCATAGCTCTTATATAACGGAAACGACAAATTTTCGGCATTTAGAAGGCTTAATCGCATTTCCCATTTGGTATAATGCATATACAGGAAATACATATCCATACATATATACTCTTGTATACAATTTTTGCCCAATATTTTCCACCGAATTTTCGAAATAGGTTCCTTTGCTCACATTGCCTCTATATAAAGGTATGTTAATTTCGGTTCCAAACCCAAGTATCTCTAAGTTTGAATATTTTTTTATTTAGAGCGTAATGCATTGCCACACTCGTCATATAAAGGTTCTGACGATTTACGGAAGTTTAAATTAACACTACGTGACAAAGGGTATATAATGTTTGACCCGGCCGAACTTACAGACGTTTTTACTTGTTACAAGTTGCTGTGAATTTATTAAATAAATTGTCAACGAATTGATGGAACTGTCCTCATTTTTTTCTGGGAGAAATCTGTCCAAACGTAGCACAATTTCGGAATTTCAGTTATAATTTCACAGTAAGTTCTATTGATTTTGTCATTGTTATCAATATATTTTAACCCATAAAGGGCATGTTCAAAAATCCCATGCATTATTTCTAGATATAAAAATTCTAAGAATATATTTTATGATCGAAGAAAGTTTAATCCAAAAAAAAAAAATACCCCAATATATCAATTTTGCAGTTGATTTCATCTGAAGAATATTTATTATTTTTAAATTTTTAGAAATATTTTTTTTCGATGCAGAGAAATGATTCTTATTGGGTAATACAACCATAAATTTGTAAAAAAAAATGTTTTTTTTTTTTAATTTAAATTTCTGGTTACATTGAATTCTTTGAAAAAGTATCATGGATTACATACAAGTTTGTGATGGTTTCAAATCGCAAAAAAATAAACAATCTCAAATATCCTTCAACCAAACGAATTCTAAGAAGAGAAAAAAACACAAATACAAACAACAAAAAACCAGCAACAACCTTTATGCAACCGACACGTCCTAATTCCGAGATGAGATGACGATGATGACTCTTTTTTCCAAAAACCGGCATCATAAATATTCCACCTGTAGTGGCGGCAAAATAAGCAACACTAGGGGAATGATGTAGTTACTGGCCAAAGTGGTGGGGTTTTAGTCATCAACAACAAGTGCAACAACAACAACAATACAGCCACCGGCAAAGATCAGCAACAACAATAACAAAATTTACCACACACACGCGACGTTAAAAATGTCCTCCAATATGAAATGTTAATAAACAAATTTGGAATTTTGCACATGTTTCGGGTAACTTTTTCTCATTTTAGACCCCAACAACAACAAAAAAACGGCGTCAGTTATAAGAGAATAAAAATTGTTTGGTGTTAAACGTTGGCAACTTATTTTTGCCTGCTATCTAGTGCGCCCATCACACATACGTCTTCCCTTGAATGAATGCTTGGATGAATAATCTTGAGACAAATAATAGGGTGGGTAGTGCCGGCGGTATGCGGGTGCCGCTAGCTGCTGCTCACTGCCTTTTGATTGTTAGTGTGGCTGACTGCCCGACTGGCCAAGATAGAAGAAGAAACAGTGTAAAGTGAGTAGTACCTACGCTGTTCACCGGTACATTGGGTGTGCGTATGTATGTATGTACTGTGTACAAATTTATGTCGGTATGATCGTCTGCCTTCTATTTGAGCGAATCATAAGCACAAATCTGTACTCTTTATTCTACTTCACATATGTATGTATATTTTTGTCGCTTTCGTTTGTATGTGTGTGGGTACGTTTTGTTGTAGTAAAATTTGTGATTCTTCAGTTACTTTACTTACTTTGTTTTTGGGCTTCCGAGTGTTGCGTTTAGTATAAAACGTGCGATCCGCCAACAGAACATCATCAGTTCCACATTGTCAACTCGCATTTCAAGTGCAAAAACCGAGAACCACATTGCCACTGCCCTTAACGTTAAACATTACGAGGATTATCAACATAAACTTACATAACCAACCAAAAAATAGATTTCGAATCATCATCAAGTGATTTACAAAAAGGATTTACTTTTATTTAATTTATTACAAATAAAGTGAAAAATCGAAAATAATTAAAAATGTACAAGTTCACCATTGTTGTTGTATCCGCTTTATTGTTCGCCATTGTCTTGGCCCGTCCCGCCCAAGAACAACAGGCCGAAATTGTAACCAGCTCAACTACACCAGCCACCATTATCAAACAAGTCGATGTCAATAATCCTGATGGCAGCTTCAACAGCAGGTATGTGTTGGAAATACGGGATTTATGTGTTCAATGAAGGATCGAAGGACCAAATAAAAAATAAAATATTTTAAGAAAAATATCAATTAGAAAATTCAAATAACGGATTACTAATATTTTTATGAAGCGAAGAAATCAGGTCGTATGGTCTATTTTGAAAAATCTATTTAAAAAAACATTTTTAGAAAGCTCAAACATTCTTTGAAAATATTAAAAAAAATTAAAAACATTAAAAATTAAACATTAAACAGTAGTTCTTGGCAGAAATTGAAATGTCGATACAAATATTAGAATTAACGCACATACAGATATTTCTTATAAATACAAATTCTGAAAAGTGGCATAATTGAAAAATGTTCCCATAAAGTCATCACCAAGTCAGGCCGGGACAGGGTATCAAATATTAAGATAATTAAAGAAAGTCTTAAATTGGTCCAAAATATTTCTTAGAAACCACAAAATATTCAAAATTCATATTTAATCCCAACAACTTCTGTGCAATTATAAATTTTTCTCAAACAGTTGTCCTTGGGAGCTGATTCAAATTAAAATGCCCCAATTATCAATTCTTTTCAAACAGTAGTCCTTGAGTGTTGAACGAAATTAAAATTCCAAACCAACTCTAAAATAGAAAATTCCTAATTAAAATATTGAAAAGTTTTCAAAGAATGGATCAAGTCATTCCCCACAAAGACAATTTTATTAATGACAATCCGGAAAACGATGTTAAGTCCGGTTCAGCCAAACTTTTTATACCCTCTACCATGAGGATGACAATCAAAATATCTAAAATTATTGAGGGCTCCTAGGAGAAAACTCATGTTATGATAGGGCCTTGAACATACCGAAGATGATTGCAATTTTTACAAATATCTAATAATGGGGCTGCTGTTATATGGGGCTATAATAAAACGGAGATCAATATTGATAGTTTTGATAGTCAGAATTGACAGCCAATGAGAATATGAATATCAAATTAAAGCCAAATTTTCGATATACCAACATGGGTCAATTTCAATAATGTTTAGTGCGGAGAAAAAATCCCCATATTGGGGAGTACCGTTATTTGGGTCTACCCTGAAACTTAGATCAATATTAATAATTTTTGGTACGGATATGTGTTATTCAATGAGAACTCAAAATACCAAATTACAGGCAATTCGGTTGGAAAACCTTTCTAAAATTCCCAAAATACCGTATATTGGGTACCGTTATATGGGAGCTACCCTTAAACTTGGGTCAATATTAATATTTCTTCGTACGGGTATGTGCTATTCAATAAGAACTCTAAATATCAAATTACATGCAATTCGTTAGGAAAACCTTACTAAAATTCCCAAAATACCGAATGTTAGGGGTACCGTTATATGGGGTCTATCCTGAAACTTGGGTCAGCATTAACAATTTTTGGTACGAATATTTGTTATTCAAGAAGAACCCAAAATACCAAATAACAGGCAGTTCAATTGAAAAAAGTGTCCAAAATCCCCCAAAATACCGAATATTGGGTGGTACCATTATATGGGGGCTACCCTGAAACTTGCGTCAATATAATAATGAGACCTCAAAATGCCAAATTACAGCCTATTCGGTTAGAAAACGTGTCCAAAATACCTAAAATACTGAATATTGGGGAGTAACGTTATATGGGGGCTACCCTGACATTTGGGTCAATATTAATAATTTTTGGTACGGGGGATGTGGTATAAATCAGAACCTAAAATGCCAAATTACAGCCACTTCGGTTAGAAAACGCGTCCAATATCCCCAAAATACCGAACATTTGGTTGTACCGTTATATGGGGACTACATCAAAACGTGGACCGATTTATGCCATTTGCAATACCAAACATCCTAGAAGTACTAGCAATGTCTGTGCAAACATTTCAGAGCTCTATCTTAAATATTGCGATCTCTATCGTGATTTCAATGGACAGACATACGGACATGCGTAAATCGACAAGGCTAGAAAATACCATTCAAAAGACTTATTAACATACAGACATACATATTTAAAAGTTATGAAATAGTTGAAATCGTTAATAAGGACATATCAGTTATAACGATGGTATCCAAAAAACCTAATCAAACTCTTCCTTAACTTGATATCGCTTGTAGCTACCTCTTTCGCATGTCCCTTTGCTTATAAGCGATTTTGAGTCTATGTCAAATTTCCAACTTTTAGCCAGAATTTAAAGTCAATTTTTCTGTACTTTAGCATTATTATTTTCTTGTTAAAACAAAAACAAAAATTGCCTACAATAGATTCCCATATGGATATCCATTCCAGCACATCCTTTAAGAAGTTTTAATAATGAACATTAATAATAAATTGCATATTGTTTTCCTTTACAGCTATGAAACATCCAATGGCATCAAAGTTGAAAATGTCGGCTACATGAAGAAAATCGTTGTACCCCGTCAAGAACTTGAAGACGGTCAGATTATCGAAGAACACGAAGAATTGATTTTGGTACAAAGCGGTTCATACAGTTATATGGATCCTGAGGGCAATATCATCACTTTGCGTTATGTTGCCGATGAAAATGGTTTCCAACCACAAGGTGATCATTTGCCAGTTCCTCCACAATAGATGTCAACTAGCAAATGAATCGAAAAAATTAACAAAACAAAAACCAATAATCTAACAGCAAGAAGTCATAACGATTAGTTTAGTTAAATCTTAAGAACTAGTTTAAGTTTTTTTGTAAGAAAACCAACAATCGAAATCGAATACTATCGAACAACAATAATCTATACATAATATTTGCTTTTGTATACTTACCGCACATCTCTTCTAAGTAAGTGTCATGTACTCGATAAATAAATGAAATAATAAAAAATATGAAATAAGAAAAAAAAAAAGAAAAACAAACAACCAACTACAACAAATCATTTCAATTCACGCATAGCTTAATCTTCAAAAACAAACAAGATCTGTAAAGCATTCGAACGCAAAACCATAGGCTGAAGATAATAATCTCATATTTTAAGGTCATTAGCCAAACATGATCCGCTATTAAGTTGTCTGGCTGAGCCTGACAATGATGCATCATCTTTGTCATCGTCATCATTTGCACGCATGCGTGTTTGTGGTCACAGCATTCAACACCTATCTGCTGTTGTTGATGTTGTTGTTATTTGCTTCTTCTGATGTATTATAGCAGCTTAATGTGGGCCTCATTGCTGTTGTTGTTATTGTCTTTTAATTCAAGCATTACTTATCACATGGCCAGGCTGCTGGCTAACAGACAGGCGTCAATTGTGCCATTGTCTGACTGACTTCTCATTGTCATTGAAATAAGCGTCATATTTATGTACACACTTAATTCTGGAGTTAATATTAGGCAGTGTCGGAAACAAAGCTAATTGATTTTAAAGAACAAATACGAATAGCATCATGCCACGTACAAATATGTATCCAAGGTTATGACTTACACCTAATTACCAAAAGAGTGGCTATACATAATTGATAATTTTGTGTAATGCTGATTCTAACTTATTACCAAGAAAATTGAAAACCCCAGAGGAATCTGATAATATCATACAGTCGCCAATTAACTTGGAAAGGGTAACTACAATGTCCATGAAGATACGGGTCATAATCGGTCAACGTCTGTCACCTCAGCCCATTGTGTTACAGTAATACGGCAGCTACAACAACAACCTGCGATATAGCAACAAGTAAAAATGCCGTTATATTCGATCGGGTCGATCTTTTTATAGCATCGGAATAAATTTTATACCTGCCAAGAACATATTCTGTAAATATGTTTTTCACTCTACAAGAATTTCAAATGGCAACATACAGCCACTTCAGTGAGGAGGTACGGCTAAAATATTCAAAATACTGAAAATGAGGTAGGAACTTTATATGAGGACTAACAATCCTCCAAGAACCCGAAATGCCAAATTATAGCCACAACTTTGGGAAATGAGGTTAAAAGATTCAAAATGCTATCAAGTGAAAAAAGCGTTAACTTCGACCGGTCGAAGTTTGAATACCCTCCACCATAGGAATGCTGGCAGTTACTTGTATATATAGGGAACATATCAAAAAGTGTACCTATAACGACAATTCTACCAATAGAATTTTGTCCTCACAATACTGCTATTTAGAGGAAACATGTATATGGGGACATCAAAAACGTACACAGGATTTTATTTCGGGGGGATGGGTTGAAGCTGATGGTTCAATATGAAAATTTCCATTGCAGAAAAAGCGGGACCAATATTGATGACATCATGTATTGTGGACCGATATTACTCAATTTCGAATGAAAAATGCCTTCCTTCACGCAAGTACCAAAAATCGGTACGTATAATTATATAGGGCTAGGTCATTCTAGAAACTGACGTTCTAGTTTTTTATCTCTATCAGCCGAAGGTAGTATGATAACAACAGATGGCTAAATCGGCAAAATCGTCTTAGTACCCCCTACTTCGTATTCGGAGCGCGAATTCAAAACAAATAAATAATATATTATATGGACATCATGAATGTGTTGTACTATAATTCCGAATTCCACCTCTATTCCTACATTTTATATCAAGTTTATTACCATGTGTATGAAGAGTAATTTCCGAAATTTCTTTCTTATTTGCATTATAAAGATTCAAAAGTGATCAGAATTAGAATTATATATTTTAGCAATTACCTACAGGTTCCACATTTAGTTTCATTCAGTACTTTTCGAACACATAAGTACAAGACTACCTCCATATATCAATCGTTCACTAAATTTAGTACCAGTACCCTTTGGTACTCCGTCTCCATCAGTGATCCACATTCCAAGTTTTAGGTCTTCAGCTCTCTTTCTCTCTCTCTCTCTCTCTCTCTGTGTTACCCAAATCCATATTGTTCCAAATTTAATGCATTTTGTACTATTCGTACTCATAAATTCGAATTTCCAAAGCTGTCTCCATAGCTCAATCCTACACATCAACAGTAATCTAAATTCCAAATCTCAGGGTTGCACCATCCATATTGTACCAAATTTAGTGCTTTTCATACTCTAGGTAAAATTTTCTAAAACTACAGCAACATTATTTCCACTAATTTTGTACTTTTCCAACTCATACGTACAAATTCCCAAAACTACCTCAATCCAGTTTTAAAATAGTAGTCGTGAGTCCAAATTTAAGAATTCCAGATCTATATATTCACCAAAATCCAAATTGTACCAGATTTGGTATCATTCTGTACTTTTCTTACCCATATTCCAAAACTTTCTCAGTCGTCACTCCAGTTCTACCCGTTCACCAAAATCCAAATTATACAAAATTTAGTACTTTCTCAATTCTACACTATTTATAAATTTCAGCCGTTCACATAGATTCAAATTGTACCATATTTAGTACCATTTAGTACTTTTCGTATTTATAAGTATTTGCAACACTGTACTTTAACAGTAATTTTAATTCGAAATATAAGTATTCCATCTCTATGCGTTCACTTAAATCTAAATTTACCAAATTTAGTTACGAATTTAATTACGAATTTTCAGAACTACCTCCAATTCTCAATCCTACACCCCAACAGTAAATTTAATTCCAGGGTTCTAGTCCTATTCGTTCACACTAAAAAAATTCTACCATATTTAGAATCATAGATTTTTGTATCCATAACTACCCATAAAATTTGCAAAATCTCATCGGTTCTTTATTTGAAACGTTAGATTGGTCCATGACATTTAATTTTTGAAGATAATTTCATTTAAATGTTGACCGCGGCTGCGTCTTAGGTGGTCCATTAAATCCAATTGCAACTTTTTCGAGCATTTCGGCCGGAATAGCCCGAATTTCTCGGAAATGTTGTCTTCCAAAGCTGGAATAGTTGCTGGCTTATTTCTGTAGACGATAGACTTGACGTAGCCCCACAAAAAATAGTCTAAAGGCGTCAAAATCTTGGTGGCCAATTTTGGCCATAGAATGGCAAGCTGTGTTGTAGAGCCATCTTGTTGAAACCACATGTCAACCAACTTTTTAGCATCGAACGATAGCATTTAGTACACGGGAAGTACTATACTTCCATATATGCGGAATTATTTACAGCCATTCCAACAGCTGGATTATTTCAAATTTCTGGCTTATTTCTGAAAATTAGACGTTGTGGCAGATCGTTCGGCTTCTCTTGCACGAGCTGTATTTTATATGGTTTTACACCAAATCAAAATTGTCGAATAACACAAAAATTGCGTCAATTTCACGTCTTCATCAGAAACAGACGCAATATTCTCTTTGTACGCAAATATATACAAATACTGGACACATTAATTTTTTACATGATGATTATTGTATATAAAGCGCGAAACACATTTCGACCGAACACTGATTTTGGTAATAAAATTCAATGATTTGCCAAGTCTATTCATGATGAATGTGGTGCATGAAAATCCTAACCTCAAAAAAATCACCCTTTAGTTTAGCGTTCCGAGTTCTTGGTGGGATCGTAATCCAAATTTCAAACGACGTTTATATTTGTTTTCATCTTATATCCGTTATTAATAGCTTCGACTAATTTAATTTCATACACATTTTGTCATTTCAGTACACCCTCATATACCATGTTTACGTAGAACTACGTAAATAATCACTTGCACTTTCCAAGTATTATTACCGACATACATTCATTCATACATAATATCTTGTTCATGGCTTAAATCACTCGAAATACAGCTAAATACGTGGCCAAGAAGTGGAAGTAGTACCATTTAACCGCACACAACGACGAGGCATCATTGTTAAGTGTGCTCTTTATCGATTTCATGGACTTGATTTCCATTGACATCCCCTCGCACCCATCTTTATTTATTTGCCTATTAATAGAAAAACAAAAACAATTGTATGGTTTCACAATTAAATATGATTTGCGATCAATTACCAAAATTATTAGTGGTTTACGAAAATTAATTTTTTTTACCAAACTATTAAAAATTGTTTATGATTTTAAAATTAATATCAAGAGCAAAACCTCTTAAAAATGTATCTAATATATCACATATATAGACCAAATTGATTTTGTATTTATTTAGCTTACAAAAGAATTTTAATTGTGACTACGATATTGGATTCATTCAAAAATAAACCAGTATGGAAATGAATAAAGTTGGACGAAAAGTATTTCGTGTCAATCGAACAAAACTAAGGCCATTGGGCGCTATTTACATAAAAGTTGACTGAAATACATATGGAAGCTGTATCCTGGTCTACAGTTACTTACCCATGCAAATAAATTGGGTGGATGTAGAGAGTCTTTCGTGAGTCACACATAAAACATCGGAAATTATATATGGGAACTATATCTTAATCTGAATCGATTCTTACTAATTTCCCCAGTCACATATCAAGCAACCTTTTATATCCCCTCCAGCATACAATGTTATACAGTGCTGGCAGGAAATAGGAAATACGTTTAACAAAGTAGTTAGAGACCATTTTTATCGGAAAGGAAATTATGAATTTTATAATTATGACTTCAATGGAAGGAATTTTCAAATACAAAGGAATTTTCAAATACAATGTTATCCTTTTAGTGCTTTCAAAGGTAAGCGCAAGTAAAACACATTTTTTTGTAATATATATTTTTATACCCTCCTCACATGTCGG